CAGTGCAGAGGGTAAGAATATATATATATATATATTTGTTTTTTGTTTAGAAGGAGAAATGGAACACTAGAACGATAGATGAAGAAACTAGAAGTAACAAGAGTTTTAGGGATATAAAAACTGGGAATGAGAAGAAGACAATAACTACGAGGAAACGGTCAAGCGAAAGATGAAAGCGGCACGAGGCACAGCGAACAGCGGTCACAAAGACTGAACAAAATGGTGGACGCTCCGCTCTTTATAGGCCATGGGGGAGGGGAGCGGAGCTTCCCGCCAAAAACTGTTAGCTGTCAATCTTCCGGCCAAAGGCACTGCGCAGGAGCAGAGCCCATATGTGTGATGCACAGAGGCCACGACAAAGAACATTTACGATCAACTGCGTGAGAAAGCTAAACATTTTCATGCATACTCAGTCGCTCTTGATGAGAGCACAGATGTCACTGACACTGCGCAGCTCACAACATATGTCCGTGGTGTTGATGACAATTTTGATTCCAATGCATGGCCAGACCACCACTCAGCAGATATTCCGCCAGCTGTGTGATGCCATTGCAGATGCCGGCTTACAATGGAAGAGTTTTGCTGGAATAATAACTGACGGAGCGCCATCAATGACAGGGAAGAGAAATGGAGTTGTGGCACTTGTTCAAAGACAATTGGAAGAAGAGGCTGTGGAAGAGGTCACTGCTCTGCACTGCATTATCCATTAGCAGGTCCTTTGCAGCAAATGCCTGAAGTTTGACAATGTGATGTCTGACCTTGTGAAATGCATCAACCATATCAGATCCAGGGACTTAAAGCACCGGCAGTTCTGCGCCTTTTTAGAGGAAATAGAGTCAGCATATGAGGATGTGCTCTACTACACCGAGGTACATTGGCTTAGCAGGTGAAACATCTTGAAGAGGTTTTTTGAGTTGAGAGCAGAGGTGAAAACCTTCATGGAGAAAGATGGGATGGCTGTTCCTGTACTAAGTGATCCCAAATGGCTCATGGACTTAGCTTTTCTTGTTGACATCACACAGGAGCTGAATGGACTGAATAAGAAATTACAAGGCCAGGGGCAGCTTGCCAGTGCTGCCTATGACAATGTCAGAACATTCTCCACAAAACTTGTGTTATGGAAAGCCCAGCTTTCTCAGACAAACCTCTGCCATTTCCCAGCATGCAAGGCACTCATGGATTCTGGCACACCATTCAGCGGTGAGAAGTATGCTGATGCCATTGTAAAGCTACAGGAAGAATTTGATCACAGGTTTGCAGATTTCAAGACACACCGAGCCACTTTTCAAATTTTTGCTGACCCCTTCTCCTTCTATGTGGAAGATGCCCCCCTGTGCTTCAAATGGAGCTAACTGACCTGCAGTGCAATTCTGAACGCAAAGCCAAGTTCAGGGAGGTGAGTGGAAAAGCAGACAAGCTTGGACAATTTTTGAGAGAATTGCCCCTTACCTTCCCTGAGCTTTCCAGGATGTTCAAGCGGACCATGTGCCTTTTTGGGAGCACCTATCTGTGTGAAAAGCTCTTCTCCACCATCAACTTTAATAAGTCAAAGTTTAGGTCCAAACTTACTGATGAGCATCTTCAAGCCATACTGAGGGTCTCAGTTGCTTCCTCCTTCAAGCCAAATGTGGCTCAGCTGTGTAAGAGCAAACGCTGTCAGGTCTCTGGCAGCAAGGAGTCGGACGAAGTAAGAGAAGCCTATGTTCTGAAGAACCGTTCATGTTCTGAATTATTATTAGTAAAGATTGAGAAGATTGGATCAGTTGTACTTTTTTTGGAATACTTAAAATCCCTTTTTTGTGGAATACTTGATGCAGCCCAGCCTCACCCAGACTCTACTTCCAGCGGCCCCCAGGTAACTTGAGTTTGAGACCCCTGCTCTATATACTGTTCCACTCCATCTTCTAAGATTTTTTTTCAAATCTGTACAAAAAAATCACAAAGTTAAAACTGGTCATGTATTTCTTTCTCCACATAGATAATTCTGCTGTCTACTCCTGTGATCAATCTTTTCCATTTCTCTTTTGATGGAGAAATTACACTAGATATCTTCCAGGTTTGTTTGCTTGTTCAAAGTGTTTTTGTTTTTTAAAAAGTTAGTTTCTTCTGAACTTCCTCTGTTTCAATCAAATCTAGCTGATTTCTTAATTGTCTAAGTTCGATTAAAGTTGCTTTATCTTCTTATGACAATCCTTTAATATTTGAATTCTTTCAAGGAGCTTTGCAGTTTGTTCTAGTTTTTCTTTTTCCTTTGAAGTCATTAGGTTCCCCCTCATCTATGCTTTACTGGCTTCCCATATTGTTGTTATGGAGACACCATTTGTATTGTTCAATCCAAAGAACTTTTCTAAACCTCTTTCACATTTCTTCAATATATCATCGTGCAATAAAAGGTTGTCATTCACTCTCCATCTTCTAGCTCTCAATTGCTCATCTTGCCAGATAATTTCTAATGAATGGCGGTACAAAAGTATCTTAGCTTGAATCCTTACAGTTTTTAGATTCAAGACCAAAGTTTTTGAAATCCAATACATGTCTATCCTTGAATATGTGTGATGTCTGTCAGGAAAGAAGATGTAGACCCTAGTTTTTGGATTTTGAAATCTCCATGCATCTTCCAACTGCAACATTTTCATATAGTTAAAAAAAAATAGGGGAGTCTGCCCCCTTTCATTTGCTTTCACTTGTCTTTACTGGGATCTAAAACTCCATTCATGTCCCCACAAATCAGTATTTCACCCCCCTGAAAGTTCATTAGAGATTGAAAAAAAATCGTAAAATTTCTCTTTTGCATCATTTGAAGCATATATTGGTGCCAAAGTCTCTTTGCATTTGAGCATCTCATCCTAAAAATGATACATCAACTGGTCCTTCAGTTCTTCTATAATATTTAGGCTTTGATTGTTCACGTAAATCACAAATCCCTTTCCTTTTTGGTATCTGCTAGGGATTTGTACTGTCTGCCCAACTTCTTGCATTTTAAAATGTGAGCACTTTTTTCTTTATGTGGGTTTCTTGAATACATATTATATCTGCCTTCTGGTTTTTTAGAGAGTTAAAAACTTTGATATGTTTAGCAGGGGAATTCAGACCATTAATATTTATTGACAAGATTTTCAGTCTGGCTTTTTAATTTGAGCTATTGCTCAGTGTTACTTCTTCTCCTACCTCATTTCATAATTAGCTGTACCAAGTTCTCTCCACTTTGAGGGTAATAATTCATTATCATCCACACAGATTTCATCCCTATTCATCTTATCCCTGAAAGTCTCTAATGCCATTGTACATCTCTTCCTTTGCTTCATAATCTCATAATTATATTACATATCAGTTTGGTTCCAATTTTAGTTCTAAAATTACAAGAGAATAATTTCTTCCAAAATGTTATAACATCCTTAAAATAAGTATTAATTCATTGCAAAGAGTAAAGAAAAGGATGGACCATGAGCAATATTTAGGAGAGCTAGAAAAGTGAGGAGAGGAAGGGAAAAGGAAAAGACAGAATTAATTTATTTGGTTATGTTAAACCCCTAAGAGTGTGTTCAATTAGTTAATTTCTTGTTATTCTATAGTCCATTTTTATTAATTCAATATTAATATAGGTTAGTTTTCCCAGGGAAAGAGCTGTATCTTTTTCAGTGGGTCTAACCAGTTGTCAGTGACTCTGTCCGCTGCGCAAAACTGATGCTCTTCTAATCCTTCTATCTCCTCCAAGCAAATCCTCCCAAGTTCAATTTTTCCAAAGCCCAGCAGATGGCGCAAAGAACACAATGTCAGAGTCACCAAATTAGGAAACATTTAATTGGGTCATACTTCTTAAGGTCCCAAAGGCAACAAATCCAAAGTTCTCTGTTCCCCCTTGGTCCAGAAGTACGGTTATTCAAACATTACACATCTGCTGTTAGGGTAGCTTCAGATCATTTCTCAGCCAGTCCTTAAGAAAAGTGGTTTCTTTTCAGCTCATTTTCAACTCAGAGAGGAGGAATGATGCCTGATCAGCAGAACTCACTCTTCCCCACCCCACCCCACACACACACCAGCAAGCTCCATTCAGCACAAACTGCTCAAATTAACAACCATCAATATTCAATCGATCATTCTTAGCCTCCTAATTTGGTCACCAAATGACTTTATATCTTTCTGGCTTTGCATCCCAGTTTGGAGTTAGATGTGAGGTGGATGATTGTGCATTAGCTCTGTTGTTACACCAGATGTTCAATAAAAACAACTGTTCATGCTTAAGCTCCATTTGGATGTGCAAAATATTGTTTTTCAAGGTTTTTGTTGTTGGAGATTGCAAGTTATAGTCCCTTGGCCTAGGAGAAGAAAAGAAAAGAAAAAAACTTGGAAGGGAAGAAGGAGAATCAAAAGAACAAGTGTCTGGGAGGCAATTTAAAAATAGTTCTTTGTTTACCTTTTCCTGTCATCTTAAATGGTATCAGAACAAATCAGGTATTCAGGCATTCCTGATAAACCTGATTGATCACCTGCCACAGAGTCTTTATCATAAAGGTGAAGAGAAGGATTAGCCTTCCTTTGCCAGTAAATAGATGCCAATCGACAAGATAAAGTAGAGAGCAGTCAGAAGTTGCTTCCTTCAAGTCACCATCTTCCCAGAACTCTCCTCTCATGAAAGTGCTTTTGGTTGTGTTCAGATAAAACAATTAGTGGCAGAACAGGCTAATGGACCTGCAAGTACAACAGTATCTACCCAGCAGAACAGAATCTCCAAAACTTTCAAACAAATCACAGATAGATAATATTGTACCATTCCAACTTGTAACAAGCAGGTGGATATTAACCCTTTGGGCCACAACTCTAAATGAAACAAGTGTATACTCTTGCCATAACTGGCTACAGAAAACCCAAAGTTTATGCATATTGTTTACATACCACCTTTCCATAATTAAGTATGGAAGCCCTGTATGATCACAGGTGTTCTGCACTGTAGTCTTCAGTTTCACAAAGCCAATTTAAAATTGAACAGAATGCTGCCTTACCAAAATAGAATTCTTCTGATCAACAATCCAAGCTGGCAGTGCAATCCCAAAGCTTGTAGCTACAAAGAACAAGAGAAAAGTTATGAAATACAGCAAGAATGCAGACTTGAATGAATCCACGCAGTTATAGAAGCTATCTATTTGTGTAAATTTTTAACATAAACTTCTACTTCATGTTGGGAAAACTGAAATGGCTATTTTTCAAACAGCCAACTGTGCAGACATATAAATAGGCTTTTGAAATTATACAAAACCAACTATATTGACTGTGCAGAGGTCTATTAAGGGAGCTGACACTCAAGAGTCCATTCTCTTTATGAAGTTCTTTCATTGCCTGTGCATGCCTTGAGAGACTAGATTAGTACTTTTCCATTCAGTTCCATCACAGTCCACTTGATGCCCACCTGAAGAATGTGCTAACTTGGGACACATTGCTACTTCTCAGATTAACTTCCCTCAAGAATTGGTACAAAGATAATTGTGTGAACTGTAAACTTGCAGCAAACAAAATGAGTAATGCAACAAACAATAAAGGACCACAGAGCAAAAGTGGAGCACAGATATAATAAGTAGCAGGTTTACCTTGTGGCCCATCAGGATTGCCAAATTCTTCCCAATTTTTTCGAGATTCTTCATCAGTTAAACTAACAAAAGGAGGTGGAAAACATTTTAGAAAGCATGTCACCGCTTGTGGCAAATAGCCTGGTCATAAGGCTTGCTATATACATAAATCCTTCAACTGATGACGTGAGAGAATGATCTAGTCTGCATGTCATGGTGGGAAACAGTGAGTTAATTTAACCAATTTGTCACAATGCATGCCAACTGTATTCCATTGGCATTTGAATATTCATCCCCCTACTGAGCTGACAGAGGTTGCTATATGACATCTGAAAGTGGACACTATGGATGCATTCGCACAATCATGGAAGGAAAGAAAGCCAGAGTGACTTATTTTTCCTCCACTACATGTCAGTTGCAAGCCACCTAATTATAATAAATACTCTGACTGGGTGTGCGCGATATCATGATGTCCAAAT